AAAAAAAAAAAAAAAAAAAAAAAAAAAAAAAAAAAAATAGAGAGAGAAAGAAAAAGAAAAAGAAAGAGAGAAAGAGAAGGAGGAGGAGGGTATGGAGAGAGGGGAGTTGGTGAATAAGAAGAAAAAAAAAAGAAAAAAGAAAAGAAAATAAAATGAAAAAGATAAATATAAAAAAGAGATGTATAAATACAAGGAGGAAAGAGAAATAAATAAAAAAAAGGAGACAGGGAAAAACAACAAAGTAACACACAAAAAGAGAGACAGACAGACAAAGAAAAAAAGAAAAAAAGAGAAAAAAAGAAAGAGAAAAAAAAAAGAAAGAGACAAAGAGAGACACAAAGACACAACAAAAAACCAAAAACAAAAACAAAAAAACAAAAAAAAAAACAAAAACAAAACAAATAACAAAAACAACAATAAAAGCAAAAACAAAAGAAACAAAAAAAAACAAAAACAAAAACAAAAAAAAAATAAAATAAAAATAAAATATTTATATTATTACCTTATGTATGAGAAGGTCAAGGGTATCCGACCGTGTAGCAACAAAGGGCCCAACATATTCAGTTTCAACAGCATTACAGCTGCTGCTGCTGCTGCTGCTGCTGCTGCTGCTGCTGGGAGCAGCAGCAGCAGCACGAAACGCATGCAGCAGCAGCGGCTGCACCTCTACCTGCAGCCGCCCCCGCTGCCTATACACCCCACGAGGCACCTCTATGTCGTGCGGCACCCAGGCTGTCAATACACTCCATGTTGCTGCGTCACACACTTGAAACGCCAGGCCCTGCAGCAGCAGCAGCAGCAGCAGCAGCAGACGCAGCAGCAGAAGAAGAAGCAGAAACAGCAGCAGCAGAAACAGCAGCAGCAACAGCAACAACAGCAGAATGTAAATCAGCAGAAAACAGTCCATTTTGGGGTGTATATGCAGCTGCTTATTCAGGTGTATATACAGCAGAAAGCAAAGCTGATTGGGGTGTATATGCAGCTGCTTATTGGGGTGTATATGCAGCTGCTGATTGGGGTGTATATGCAGCTGCTGATTGGGGTGTATAGGCAGGTGTTGTGTATTACCATCTGTCGTTCTAAGCCGGGAAGCAGCCGGGAGCGTTTTGTTGCATATCCATTTTTGATTCCTTCAGGGGAGAGAAGAGGAGCATTAACAATACGTAGATGATGAGTTTGCTGCTGCTGCTGCTGCTGCTGCTGCTGCTGCTGCTGCTGCTGCTGCTGTTGCTGCTGTTGGTGGCGTTGCTTTGATTGAGAGATAAATTTATCTAAGCCGCATAATGCTTTCGCCACCAAATCCGAATTCATCTCACCACGAAGACGGCTAGCTTCTTGCTGCAGGTCCTTCAGAAAACCCCCATTCACTATAAACCTGCAGCAGCAGCAGCAGCAGCAGCAGCAGCAGCAGCAGCAGCAGCAGCAGCAGCAGCAGCAGATGGAGATGCAGCAGCAGAAGCAGGGTTGTAGGAATAAAAGCAGCAGCAAGAGGTGGAGACAGCAGCAAAAACAACAGTAGCGGCAATGCAGCAGCATCAGCAGCAGCTGTTGAAGCAACTGCAGCAGGAATAGCAGCAGCAGCAGCAGCAGCAGTAGCAGCAGCAGCAGCACTAGGTGTCTAAAGAGAGATGCTGCATCAATCCCAGCAGAAGAAAAAAAAGAAAAAAAAGAAAAAAGAAAAAGAAAGCAAAGAAAAAATAACAGAAAGAGAAGAAAAAGATGGAAAAAAAAATAAAATAAAATAAAACAAAACAAAACAAAACAAAACAAAACAAAATAAAACAAAATAAAACAAAACAAAATAAAAACAAAATAAAAAAAAATAAAAATAAAATTAAAAAGAAGAAGAAACGGACCAGGTCTCCCCCTGATCTAGGGGTGTTACGTTTCCCCTTTGCCAGACCTCCCAAAGCTGCAGCCAGGGAAATTCCTGTGTGCTGCTGCCTCTCCTCGTTTGCTGCTGCTGCTGCTGCTGCTGCTGCTGCTGCTGCTGCTGCTGTTCATCATCTGCAGCGCGAGCAGCAGCAGCAGCAGCAGCAGCAGCAGCGCCAGCAGCACAGCTGCTGCCGTTCTCTCTGAATGTTGTCATCTCTGGTTGAGGAATTTCTTTGTTCCTTACTTTGCTGCTCACGGGATAGAAGCAGAAAAAACCAGTAACACCAATAAACCTTTTCCTGCTGCTGCTGCTGCTGCTGCTGCTGCAGCTGTTGCTGCTGCTGTAACTGCTGCTCTTGCTGTTGCTGCTGCTGCTGCTGCTGTTGCTGCTACTCCGCCTGCTGCTTCCTGCAAGCTACTGAGGAGAAGGGGGCCCCTATAAGGATGCTGGGGGCCCCTATATATGTTTTGTGTTTCTTAGAAAAGGCTGGAGGGGCCCCCAGTGAACCCTGGCGGCGCAGAGGGGGGCCCCCTGTGGTGAAGCCTAAGAGATGCTGAAATAGAGAGAGAGAGAGGCAGCTGCATGCTCCCCCTTGAGGCCCCCCTCTTTTTTAATATGATTCGGAGAATATTAAAACAATATAAATGAAGTTTTTTAATTGAAAAGAAGTTTTATACAAAAGAAAAGAAGTGGGGGCTTATACGAGAGCGGACGGGGCTGCTGCAGCAGGTACAGAGGAAACGGTGAAGATGCTGAGCTGTATGTACAGCTGAAGAATTCAATACTTTTCTACTTTTTAAATATTCTTCAATTCATCAAACATTTTATATTCAACTTTTATTATTCTACACAGATACGGCCTCAGCTACACCGCGAGCGCCGCAGCGGCGGAGCTCAGCAGACGGGGCTGGTGGTGTCGTTGGGTTTATTTTATTTGTTTTTTTTCCTTTTTTTTATCTAAAATTATTTATATTTATTTATTTTATTCTATTACATTCATTAAAACACCAACAATAGCACAACATTACCCTATACACCCCCCCCTGCTGCACCGCCTGCTCTGGGCGCCTGTTCATATGCAGCTCCATCACCATACACAACAACAAAACAACAAAACAACAAAAAAATAAAATTTATTTTTTAATTATAAAACTAAAAATAAACTTTTCTACGAACATACCAACCAATATTCACCAGCAGATATCTCATTCTAATAGGGGAGTACAGCCATACAAACTAGCGTATCTAC